AACGCAAAGCAGTGCAACATCGCGGCGTTCCCACTGCCGCCTACATTACGCGGAGCGTCACAAGTCAACATCACCGCCAGGGACCCAAGGCAGACCTCCGGCTCTCCAGTGATCCAGGATATTTACGCTGAGCCACGACAAGAACTGTTCCAGTCGAAAGACGCACGCGCTGCTGAAGACAGAACGGTTGCGCAACAACGCTGTCAGCTCAGAGTAATGCTTGACCTAATTCGAAGACAGCCATATCCCTCTCTGCTGGATGCCACTCTCTGAGATCTTGCGGAGAAAACTATCGCAAGGCGAAGTTCTCGGCACATCCGTTGCCACCTGCTGGGGGTGAGCTTGACAGGAGGGCCAGAGGTGCGGCGGCGGCACAGAGCAAGCAGGACTTGGCTCACCCACGCACGGTCGGCAATTCCAGCCACGGTCAAGGCGTCGAACACTGTGTTCTTGGCCGGCGGCGCGCCCGTTGCATGTGCGACGGCCGCCGCAGTCTGATGACATCCAACAACTCGTGGCAAGGGCAAGGTCGCGTCCTTGGCGGCTCGGGCGAGGACCTCGCTGGAGCGGAGGTAGCAATCGAACGCGACGCCGCCTCAGGCTCGCGAGCCCCGTTGCCGGCGGCCCCGGCACGGCTGTCGAACCAGTTCGCGGGGGCCAACGCTAGAAAATGATGCCGGGCGAATCCAGCGGCCGCTCCACAGACGCGAGGAGGAACCCCGCGACCGCAGCCTTGGCCTGGGGGGGGGGGCGGCGTAGGCCCTCGGCGAAGCCCCAGCACGCGCGCGAACCCGTAGATGGCGCGGCGCCCGGCCGACGGGCTGTCACCGCCCACAAAACGATGGCGAGTGAAGTGGCCGAGCACCGCGGTCCACTCGGCCGCCCCAGGCGACAGGTCACGGCGGGTCGCCCGCAGCGCCAGCTCGGCATGCGCCTGGCCCGCGCCATCGCCGGGAGCGCCGCCGCCGCTTGCCCGGCTGCGCGGCGAGCCCTGCGATGGCCGGCGGCGTCGGCGACCTCGGCGCATCGCGCTGAATTCCAGCCCCGGTGTCCGATGGCCCCCGCCCGCCCGAGCAGACGAAGCCTGGGGGGCGGTTGGGGGGCCACTGGGCGGACGGCCCGGACGTCTTGCCCCGCCGTGGCTCCCAGACATCTTGCTGCCAGTCGACGGCGACCCGCGGTTCGCAGCCGCCGCGGGCGGCCGCCCTCGGGGCGGCGTCGCGGGGCAGCGCTGCCACGGCCCGAACCAGGAGGGTAGGTCGAAGAAAACGTGCTGGACCCCTCCTTGGAGTCGGACGCGCGGGGCTGACGGGCAGGGGCATCGGCGGTCCAGGACGTGGCAGCTGGCGGACGTCGAGCAAGTCGAGTAGATGATGGCGGGCTTCCTCCAGGGCGCGCCGTAGGCGCACATGTCGGAGAGGCCGCGTCGCGCCGCCAGGCGGCGGCTCAGCCTCGCCACTCGCAAGACATCGAAGATCCGCGAGCGAGCAGTCAAGCAAAGCGCGCGCGTTGTTCTTGAGGCAGAGCTGGAAGACGTAAGCTGCGCAGTGAACACGTCGCAGCGAACTCGGCGCGCGCGGTTCCATCGACCTCGCCTGGGCCCAGGCGGTGCATGGCTTTCTCAGCGGCACGCGCCATGTGAAGCCTTCGGCGGCCCCGCCGCAGATCTCTGCCGCGACCCGACGATCGAGGACGTCATAATGGGCGCCGTGTGCCAGCCCCACGGGCGCGGCCAACCGCCGCCCCGTCTCGGCGACGGCGGCTGTCGCCAGTGCCCGGCCCCCGCAGAGTTCCAGGGAGGCTGGCCGTCCGCTCGAGATGCGCGGCGGGCGGCGTCTCCCGCGCGCGCCGACGCGCTCCGCCTCGCAGGCGAGCCCGAGCGGCGCGGCCCTGTCCCCCTTGCATCGGAGGGCCGCTGGGCGCTTCCAGCGGCGGACCTCCCGTCGGCGCCGGCGGCGCGGGGCGGCGAAGCCATCGGAGGTGCGAGAAGCCGGGCGGACTCGTTCCACCTGCGCCCGCGGGCCCCCGCGCTGCCGAGCGCCACCGCGGCCGAGGGCGGCGCCCGCCTCGTCGTTGCGTCGCCCGGCTCGCCGCCCACCCGGGCGAGGAAGTCGCCGCGGGGGCGGGCGCGGCTGGCCGACCCTCTTCGCAGCTCGTTTCCAGACGAGGCGGGGCCTGGTTCCTCGCCCTGAACCTCCGCCGCCCGCGCCCAGACGGCCGCGCCCGAGAGCGGGTCCTCCTCGTCGTCTGCTGCGTCTTGACGAACTGGAACCGTGCCAAAACGCCACTGTTGGAACTTCAACACCGCGAATCAACATAACTGTTGCAACACACCATTTCTGGTATGTTGACCATGGGGATTCGTGAAACTCGTCCAAATTGTATGAACGAATGTGCGCAACGCTAATACGAGAGCCACATTTTGAAAACCACCCGCCCTCAATCTGTGAAGCTCTTGATAATGTTGAAAACGAATGTGCGCGGCGCTGAAGCGAGAGCCACATGAACACCAACCGCCTTCCATCCGTGAAACTCTTGCAATGTTTTAAAAAGAATATGCGCGGCGCTAAGGCGAGAACCACATGTTGAAAACCACCCGCCCTCAATCCGTGAATGTCTTGCAATATGTTTTGAAAACGACTGTGCGCGGCGCCGAAGTGAGAGCCACATTTTGAAAACGACCCGCCCCCCATCTGTGAGACTGTTGCCTCTTTTCAAGCTTCAGGGCCATGAGCGCTGAGGAAGTCTCAGGCGAAACGCCCCGCCCGCCCTACAAACTGGCCTCGGGGTGCGACAGGGAGGAAGAAGGAATGGAGGAGGAGGAGGAGGAGGAAGAGGAGGAGGAGGAGGAGGAGGACGAGGACCACGGCCACGGTCTCTCGGAGACCATCGGGCTGCGCTCGAAAGGCTCGAAAGGAGGAGGAGGAGGAGGAGGAGGAGGGGGACGAGGAGGTGGAGGAGGAGGAGGGAGGATTAGGGAAGGGCGCCTCGAATGGATGGTGCTCTCTCCTCCTTTGTGGCAGCGCGCCCACGCCGGGCGCCCGCCCCGCGCAGGGGGCGGCCGAGCCTCACGCAGCTCCGCCCTCTGCGCGGCGCCTCTTGGCCACGCGCGTCTGCTGGCGCGCCTGCTGGCGTTTCCTGCGCCGGGCGTGGGCGTCGCTCGGCCGAAAGGGGCCCAGGGGGGGCACAACAAGATCGACACAACTTCCAGGACCCCCCGTCGTGTTCCATGTATCCTGGATCTTCCTCTTCCCCGCCATTATCAGCGTTTTCAAGACAAGCAGCGTTTCTAAGTGTGTGTGTGTGTGTGTGTGTGGGTGTGTGTGTGTGTGTGTGTTGTGCGTAGTTTTTTCCCTCCTGAGCTGAACCGATCCCCATACAAATTAGCATGGCCTTGGCCGGACTGGCCGACATGCCCTGAGGTGAGGATCTCTGCTGCTCCCTTCAGGTCTCGGGGGGCCTACGTCGAGTCCGTGTCGTGCCGACTTCGGCGTTGGTTTTTGACACCGCGGGGATCGTTCAACCTTGAACGATCGGCCGTTTCCGAAACGTCCAAATCGTTCCACATCAATCGATTCTTGGTCGCCCGCGGCGTTCAAAGTTGAACACGGCTGGCGGGGTCGCCGCCGGTCGACACGACACGAACCTATCGTATCCCCACCCTGGGTGTGTGGGCTGGTGGGGCTGAGGTGCAATGGCACAATAAGGTTAGCTCGGGCGCGTCCCCCTACATTGGGTTTTTGAGCGAAACATACAAGTCAAACGAATTTCCAAGATTGACTAAAATGGAATACCCAGACTATTTGTTGCTAGTTTCGAAGATTCCTCCTGTAGAGGGACAGGCCCGACTTAACAGTACGGGTGGAGATCGGTTGCTCGATGCTGAGGGCGGCCCATGGAGCGCTCGACTCCGTGGCGGTGCACAATCATTCGGCGGCGCGCCGAGGGGGGAAGCCAACATGGGCGCCAGGAGCAACCCACGAAGTGCGCAGGTGCGCCACGCGCGCGCGCGCCAGGTGCACGTCTGCCTGCGCCAGGAGTGCGCCGCGCGCCCTGATTCTGGACCCCCTCTCCAGGGCAGGTTCCTCACCCTGGATCGCTTCTTGTGCGTCCTGGGGCCTGGCGAGGGCCCCCGGAGGCCGAAGACAGCAAACAAGCGACAACCCCCCCGCCGTATGTTTTTCCGCGACGCGAGGCTGTCAGGGTCCGGGCAGCCCGGCGCGCGAGCCTCTGTGCTGCACAGCGCTCCGCGCCGACGTCGACGCCTGCGGCGGCAGACCCTCGCCTTGCCGCCCGCCGGCAGCGCCGCCGGGCCGCCGGGTCAGGCCGCCGCCCGCCCGCCGCGGGGCGGCGGCGCCCAGGCAACGAGGCCGCTCCTCCAGAGGCCCGCGGGGGCAGGCCCTCGCCTTGCCGCCCGCCCTCGCAGCCGCCCAGGGGGCGCCCGCCCGCCTCGTGGGGGGGGGGGGGCAGGTCGCCCGCAGTGGGGCGGCGCTCAGCTCAGAGGCTCGCCGCTCCCGTGGGCGAGCGAAGTGCGCTGCGGCCAGTGGCGCACGCGCGCACCGTTGGGGCGCCGAGGGTCGGAGGAGCCGAGGCGAGCGGAGCTGTCGGACCCGAGGGCCGCCTCGGCGAATCGGCGAATCGGCCGTGTTCGGCCGTGCTCTTGCAGGCGAGGCCGCGCGGAGGAGGCGAGGCAGGGAGGGGGAGGGGAGGGGGAGGGAAGAAGAGGCGAGAGAAGATGGGGAAACCATAGAGGCTAGGTGGGCCCGACCCATGTCAAGCGTCCAACCTCTCCCGCCACTCACTTCACGTTGGGCTGATTTGTTTCTCTACATCCGCCGACGTGTGCCATAGCGGACCTCGAACACCCACAGGGACACCGTCGTGTTACTCGCAATCGGATGAAAAAGGTAGATGTGCACATTGGATGGAAGGGAGGAGGTGGCGGATGAGGGCAAAGGGGGGGCGAAGGGGAGGCGGAAGGCTGGATTGAGAGCAGAGGAAGCAGAGGAAACTCGAGTAAAGAACGCAATGCGTGAGAGGAGAGGGGGAGAGCAGACAGGCGATTTGATGAGAAAGGGTCGAGACCAAGATCAAGCTGCAAAAAACATTCGATAATGTGCTCACTCTGTGCACTCGCGCAGATTGCCGTGTGGAGCAGGGCGCAATGCACTCCTAGACGCGCGGTCAAACCTGGATCCACTGCTCAGCAAGTGGGTTGTACTGCGACACCAGGTGCATCAAGTCCTCAAGCCACGCTGTCGGGGTTCCAACAAGCCACGTCACATGGGAGTATCCCATGTACTCTTTCGAGAAAACTACGTTGGCATTGCCTCTGAGATCCTCACGCATGCGTGTAGTATCTGCAGGGTCTGCCAAAGCATCCTTGGACCCCATGAAAAGTGCAGTCTTAATTCCAAGCTTTCCGAGCTCGTACTTTGGAGGCGTGGGCCACAAGTAGTGCTCAAGATTTCTCTTGGTACCATAATCGTAGCGACCAAAGTGCTCTTTCAATATGAGCTGCTCGTAATGATTCAGATCTTTAACGCTGGTACCCGCAGGGAAGTGCGCAACGAGATTCTCTATCATCTGCACATCGTCCAATTCAGACGTCCCACATATCGAATCCACAGTGATGGTACATAACGCGCCATTCGTCACCTGACAAAACCACTCTGCAATTGCTGGCTCTTGTGCCAAATCCAAAAATCCAAATGGCCAGATCTGCTCGACAATGGCTCCGAGCTTGAGCACCTTCACGATTTCCAATATTGTGGATGTCTGGTGGGTCATGTATGTCACAGGTGACAGAGCAACAAACAAATTCACATGTTTGTCCAAATACGTTTTGTGTTTGCCCTGCGCTGCGATGAACATTTGCGTCGTCCCCTGCGACCAACCAACGAAAGTAAGTGTGTCCTTGTGCGTGACGCCAAGGATATGCTCCACGTTAGCCATTACGTCGCTGTTCCCCATGTCATCGAACGTGTATTCCCAGAATTTCTCATTGAGGAACGGATGGTACTTGGTATGGTTGCGGCTGTATGTGTTGCCGCGGCTGTTTGTTAGCCAGACATCGTAGCCCTTTGTCCAGAGTGCGATGCCGAGGGACTTACCGGGATGATTTACTAACCAACACCAAGAAGATGCCAAAATGCCATGCTGTAGAAGTACAACTGGGGCACCTGGCCGGGATAAACGAAACATTCGCAGAATGTAATTATCATCCGTGGTGGCGAAGTGCTCCGTCACATTGATGCCGTACTGACTCAAATAACCCTCTGTCGTGTCTGCAGGTCTTATCCGCCACCGTGCCTTGACCACTTAGTGGGGTGTCACAGTCCTGGTACAATTCTGATCACTGTCTGCAAACATGGCACACAAACTGTTTAGGCTCGGAAGCCCGTCTGGTCGGAAGCCTGAATGTTTGAATCCATGGGTTGCTTCTGTAACTTGGGCCTTGGAGGGTGCGCGATGCCAAGAATCCAAACTCTTTCCCGCACAATACGGCCGAAGCAACCCGCAATTCCTGGGGGGATCTCGGAAAGCCCCCTGCGAACCCACTGGAAACCCAGACAGCTGCCTGTAGATCCCTGGGACACCCTCAAGGCGAGGCGGTGGGATGCGCAGCAGGTCATTCAATAACAGGCTGCGAAGTCGAGAGCATGGTAGTGCTTGCGCACACGACTATGAACACCATGACCTTCATAAATGCAAAAGGAAATAAGCACTGGCGCGAGCTTGTTCGGTATCGGCCCGAACACTCCTCTAGCCACAGCGACCTGGACCAAAAAACTGCTCTGGATCGTAATCATGGGAAGCTAGGGTTACCATGACGGCGGTTATGTTGACAATCGATTGCAAAAAAACCTTCGTTTTTTGCAATCCTTCGTTTTTTGCAATCCTTCGTTTTTTTTGCAATCCTTCGGACACAATGAACAAGCAGTCGCAAGTCGTGTGTGGCCCCTCACGTCGTCCTTATCCGTCGGTCGGAAGAACTAGGGAGACGCACGAAGCAGAATGGCGTTGCAAGTAGACCGGGCTTCCACCCGCCACCTGAAAAGGAGGGAAACGAAACAACATAAGCACTCGACTCTTGAAGCAGGAAGGCGGCCAAAGCAGATTGGGATTTGGGGGTCCAGACAGACCACCTTTGAGGTCGGGCGTGTGCCCCTACAAGCGGATTCTGGACGGAAAATGAAAAAAGGAGTAACAAAAGCGTAGTCAACAACTCTTCAAGAATACTCGCAAACTCGTCCCCAGACTATTCCTAGACTATTCTTGAATACTCCACCTGTAGAGGGACACGCCCGACTTAGACCTACTTTCAGTGACCGGCGTGTAACCTGCCCCCCTGCTCCCCGCCGATGTGGATGTGGAGGCGCCAAGTCCCCCCCCACCCACCCGGGATCCCGGCCGCTCCCTCCCCTCCCTCTTCCCGAGGGGAGCCCTCCTCCACAGTCGCCTCCCCCTGCCATCGCTCGGGCGTGCGTCCATTCCCCGTGCCCGTTTCGGTCCTCCGTGCGCATAGTCTTCGCAGGGTGAGCCACAAGTGCTCCTCCTCCTCCTCCTCCTGCTCCTGCCCCTCCTGCTCCTGCTCCTGCTCCTGCCCCTCCTCCTCCTCCTCCTCCTCCTCCTCCTCCTCCTCCTCCTCCTCCCTCCACAGTGCCCCCTCCGTGCGCATATTCTTCGCCGAGGAATCAATGCAATCTGCACACCTCCGAGCGATGCCGAGACCTGGGGCCCCCGCTCCCTCCCCTCTCTCTCTTCTGGAGGAACCCTCCTCCATGCTCGACGGCCTGCCTTCCTTCCCCACTCCACTCCCGACCTTCCTCCCGTCGCCCCCCCTCCTTCCTGTCCTCCTCCTCCTCCTCCTCCTCCTCCTCCTCCTCCTCCTCGTCCTCCCCCTGCCCTCCCTCTTCTGGAGGACCTCCCCCTCCATGAGTCGTCTCCGCTGGCCTGCCCAGGCCCGATGGATCCCGAACGCCTCTGCCCAGCCGTCTTGGCGCTGCCACCCCGTGGGTACTCCGCGAGCGCTCCGAGCGGGTTGGGTGTCCTGCCCAGGTCCCCCCCCCCCGCGGACGGCTGCACGTGACGGACCTCGGCCCCTCTCGCCCCGCCGCGTTGCGCCTGCTGCGGTGTACTCTCGAGCGCTGCCTTCCTCTGACTGCCCCGAACCGGGGACGCCCTGAGCTGCGCGGGGGCGCTCCCGACGTGCAGCTCATGTGCTGGCACGCGCGTCCGGCTGTGCGAATCTGGGAACACAAGCGAGTCTCAGTAGTCGACGGGCGCGACGACGACGCCAACGACGGCGGTGCTTACGATCGGGGACAGGCGACGGCAACAGCTCACAGACAACCAGGCGGTGAGCAGGCCTCTCCCCTTATCTTCACCATCCTGCTCGTCGTACCACCCCCTCTCTCTCCCCCATCTTCCCTTCCTCCTCCTGCGTCCTCCTCTCTCCTCCGCGCCTTCGTTCCTCATCCGCCCTTCCTCCCTCCCCCTCCCAGGCGAGGGCCCCCCCTCCCTGGCTGCCACCCTCCCCTCTCCTTCCTCTCCCTCCTCACCGTAGCCCCTCCCCTCTCTTCCTCCCTCCTCCACTCTCCCTCCGTTCCTCCCTCCCTCCCTCCCTCCCTCCCTCCCCTCCTTCTCTTTCTCCCTCCTCCATGCTCCTTCTCACTCCCTCCCTCCTTAATTCCTTCCCTCCTCCCCGTCCTCCTGCCTCCTCCCTCGCGGCCGTCCCCCTCCCTCCGCCCAGGTGCGCACGGGGCTCTGAGCGGGCAGGGCCTGGAGGTGCGGCACGACCGCCTCGCGGGAGACATCCCCGCAGTCCGACCGCGAACGGGCGAGTGCCCTACGTTCCCTACGCTTAGATCGGGCATCTCCCTACTACAGGCGGATTCTGGACGAAAAGTAAGACACACCCTCAACAATGTTCACAACATAGTCCGAGACTGCCCCAAACAATCGTCCCCAGACATTTTGTTGAGACTATTTAGGAATATTCCCCCTGTAGAGGGACGGGCCCGACTTGACCCTACGCCCTGGCGGCTCCCCCTTGGGATGCGGAAGCCAACGCCTCGCCAAGACGCATCCCGACAGCCTGCTCCGACGGCAGCGGAGCTCGGGGCCAGAGAGCGAACGAACCGCTCGAGACACCTCACCAGCCCAGCCACGCACGGGCCCCTGGACCAGCGACTCGCTCGAGACATTCGAAGAAGAAACAACCACATAAACTAGGGGGCTAGCAAACCTACCTCGCGTTTGACCACCCTCGCTTCCAAGAGATACCAAGAGACGCCCAACTACGGCCTGCGCTGGTCAGGCCGCTTGACGAGGAGGCGCGAGGTATGGCTTGGTTTGGCCTGGAAGCGAAAGCGGGGTAGGTCATTCACGCGCTGGTGAACATAAACTTTTGGCGCTTCGCGCGGAGCGCGCCTGGGGCGGCGCCTGAGGCGCCGCCGGGGGGCCCAGGCGCGGATCCCAGAGATCCGCGCGGAGCGCCAGATGTTTGTGTCTATGTGGTTTTTGCCTCTTCGAGACATCCTCACACGATGTGCTGGGAGCAGCGGACGTCTGGGCACCCCAGCAGGCAACCCGCTCGAGACATCCCCACAAGCTGGCAGCGAACGGGCAAGTGTGCTGCCCCCTGGCGGCTCCTCGAGACATCCCCCCAAGGAGGAGCCTCCTCCTTGGGGGGCTGACGCCAACGCCCCGCTGGAGGCATCCTCGACTACTCGAGGTGCCGAAGCACGCGCCTCGCTCGAGGCATCCTCACAGTCTGCTCACACGCGGGCCCCCTCCTGCTGTGCCGAGGCCAGTGCTGCGCTCGCGACGCCCGCACCCTCTGCTCGGGAAGCAGACCGGCAGTCGGGCCACAACATTGAGCAGGGACCGACCGTCCCTGCATTCCTTTAGTCCTACCACGAAGTGTTCTCAGGACCCAGAAATGTTCTAAGAACAAGAACAAGGTTCTTAGAGCATTAACCCGGTGTGATACAACAAGACAGTCCCAACCACTCTGAGCGCGGAAATCACAAAAAGGTTCTCCGAAAATTGATTGGTAGGGCAATAGGCGATAGGGCGACGAAATCTATACATATCCACTGCTCCCTGGCCAGGCCCATCCTCAACACCGCAGCTGTGTATACGCCACGCCCTCCTGGCTTGGCCAGGAGGGCGCATACACAGCTCCTGGGTTCAAGATGGGCATGGTCAGGGAGCAGTGGATATGTATAGATTTCGTCGCCCGAGGCGAGCCAGGACGCTTCGCCACTGCTTGACAGCAGGCGCGCCGCCAGAGACCTCCCCACAGCCTGGGCACGACCGGGCCCGTGCGCACCCCCCCTGGCCCCTCGAATGAGGAGTGCTGAGAATCAGCGCCTCGCCGGAGGCAGCCTCGCAATCTGCTCGGAGAGCGCGGGAGTCAGTCTGGGCCCCACAGCTCGGCCTGATCGCAAAGGCCGCCCCCGCGCACGTCTCTTCGGCCCCTGCAGACGGAGCCTCACTCGATGCAGAAACCTGCAGCACACCGTGCGTCTGAACACACGGGATTCCGAGCTGGGAAAGACTGTCTGCTCCCTGCGAGGCGGCGAACTTGAGCACTTTATAACTTTTCTGGGTACAGTGCGCCCTGGTGATTGGTAACATGTGCGGCAAGGATACGAGACATTTGGACACCCAAGCCAACAAGCCCTTGGGGGGAATCTGGAAAGGCAAGGATGCAAGGACATCCTGGATGGACTGTTCTACATCTTTACGATCCTGCCCGGCTAACTTCTAAGTCTGTTCGATCCAGCCCGGCTCCGCAGCCCAGCAGCCCGAGGCGGGACTCTGAGGAAGCGGGGGGAACAAACGCTTGTCCCGGATCCGTGCTTGACGCCCCTTGGGCCCAACATAGTGCGCCTCATGCGACTACCCATCAAGCCACCCCCCCCACCTAACCGGACATCGCCGCAGGGTCTGTCACTTTCCAGGGGGGGGGGGGACATTCTGCAACATTGAGAGAACACCACGGGACCCGTACGCCCCCCAACCTGACATTTGTTTGGGGGGTGGGGCCTTCGGGTTGGGTTGCAATGGTTCGGTCAGTATAGGGCAGGGGCGACGAGATCTATACATACCTACTGCTCCTCGCCAAGCCTATCCTTGAACCAGAGCGGTGTGTACGCCCTCCTGACTTGGCCAGGATGGGATACACATAGCTCCTGGGCCCAAGATGAGATTGGCCAGGAGCAGTGCAGATACGTCCATATATATATATATATGTGCATACAGAGAGGGAGAGAGAGAGAGAGAGAACATGGACGGGCCGTCCCACCATTCCTATAGGCATATCACGACATGCTCTTCGAACAAATTATGCTCGGATAGCAAAAGCGATGACCTAAGAACATAACTGATTGACTGGACTACGACAGTCTCAACCAAACATGTTCTAAGAACAATCCGTGCAAACGACGAATACCTCTCACATCATTCTCTCTGGTGGGCACATCGGCGAGTCAGGACGCTCTGCTACTCCCTGGACCTCCTCCAAGTTGCGTTCTGACCCGAATTGTGATGCAAACCTAGCGGTGGCGACGATCGAGGGCCTCCCAGGAGGCCCAACAAAGAGAAAACAAGGGGAAGGTAGCGGCATCGGTACCGCTCCCTCCTGTGAGCTCTCGCCGACCGAGAGTAGTGATCGTGGGCGAAAGATTGAAGATACCGCCCGTTCCCAGCCTCTGACTTATACGTCTCCCTAAGACCGGCAAGCCCAAGGCGATGACAATATTGAGGACGTGC